CGTCACAAATTTATTATTTTTCGCGTGGCAACACATTTCCAGGTACAAACAATAAATCAAGGAAATACTGTGCACATCACATGATATCCATATCAGGGCTACAGTACTGCAGGCAACAATACATATTGGGTAGACAATAAAGTATGGACAAAATCATCAACAGCACACCAGCAACAGCAGCAGCACCCACATAGCGTGCTTTGATATTAAATGAAAAACCATAACCCGCCATAAAAACTGGCGATCGCTACGTTGTGCATATCAAAAAGTCCACCAAAGCTTTTCTGACGGCCGGCATCAAGAAAAGAGTTCACAAACAAACCATCCACTAATCCGCCACCTGACACAGCCCCCGGGTCAATGTTATAAAAAGAACGCCACTGTCTGCAAAAGTACGGCACCCAAAAACTGGAACACTCTTCCAAAGTCATAAAAAAGACGCGACGGCAAATCCGTCTTTTTTCTCCTGCTGGTGTTTTTTCCTTCTTCTACTAACGGATCTCTTACAGACAGCTCGGTTGGCGCCTTGTGTACCGGAGCACAGAACCTTGCACGGGTTTATGGGTTAGCAAGGCATTATGAAATTAGGGAAACATTACAGTAACTTTAGATGCATATTTCTTTAAATATTTCACACATATGTTACGACAATTTAATTCTTGAAAAAATGGCGTTTTTACAGTACGAACCTGTTGAGCCACATTACCATGATCCTCCGTTGGGGCTTTTTCGAGGGAAGGTAGCGGTGATGTCCGGTGTTGTGACTGAAGATCTATGCGGAAATTGTTAGAAAACCTGCAATTTGATAGTCCCGCGAGCTGCGCAAATGTGAGGTCACACGTATTTGACAAAAGAGTGTGAATCGGGGGCTCGAAATGAGTGTGATCACTGGTGGTGTGTGCCAGTGGCTGGTATTGGTATTGATGTGGTGGGAATGTGCGTGCGGGGTTTGTTCTTCTGAGACAGAACATGGTTTTGGTATTCTTCAGTCTGCTGACTCCCAATAAAATGCAATATGTTAATGCCTGATGTATTGATGCCTATTTATATTGATGCCTGCCTCTACGTTTGTGTTTGTGTTTGAACATGACAAAGGAATGCTGGCAAACTGAGAGAAACACTAGCACTTATGTCGCAAGGGTGTACAAAGGCAAGTACTGGTACTGGTGCTTCATTATGACCTTGCCAATATTGTGAACCTATTGAGGTATTGCATCATGTAATTAATACATTGCATGCTATTATATCAGCTATACATTTTGGCAATAGGGGCTGGTGTGTGCAGCTCATTACTGGACATGCTCAGTAAAGGCTTCATTATATGGCTTTGCGAAATTGTCTTTCCCTAAATGATTTCGAAAATATAGCTTTATCATTACTGATGCACATTATACCGTCTTTACAAATTCTGTATGCAGGGGAGCATTGCTCCTGCATAGTCAATGTCATAGTCACTGCAACTTGCGTGGGGTGCTGGATGCTGAGAAAGGTGGAAAAGTATTGCTGTCGGTGTCTTGGACAGCACTTAATAATATGTTTATCATGACAATTGTGTGTAATGGCATCTTCATCACTTCCTTGCACTTTGTCCATTCAACCATAACTACATACACTTGTTGTGTCTCCAGCCCTGTGCTAGGTCAGCATGTTTGCAGTGTCATTTCATCACATGTAAAATTTTCCAGCTATTTTTTGGTAAAGCAGCCTGATAGCTGCAGCATGATGCATGACCGTGGAAGTAAAAGATGTATTTACATCTTTCTGACCTGCGTCTTCTGGATTCCCGAAGCAGGCTGAGCAAGTGATGCTACTTATTGGTTGTCTGTTTTGTTAAAAGTGGTTGTCTGCTTTGCTGAAAGTGGTATATTGTACCTTGTGTTTTTGGTCAGTCATTCGTCAGACGGGAAGTCAATACCAGAGCGCATGCTTGACCCATCTTTTCATGTCAGAATTTATTATAAAAGCGGCATGGATTGCAGTCGAAAAACAATGTTGTTGTTCATTATGTCATGCCACAGTACAGCACCGAGATAGTGCCACAATGAAGCTATCGACCAGTGACATTACACAATGTACAACATTGGTTGTGCACTCTATGTCAAGCCTATGAGATAGCAGCTTATGATTTATGAGCAACTGGTAAACATTTATTTAACAATGCAAAAGGACTGTCTACGGTAAGAATGTCGTTGAACCACAATGGTTATGTAAGGGTTAACTATTAATTGCATGAATAATCCTGAGCAAAAAATCGTTTTTGGCAGCCCAACCTTACCTTCTCAACCATAGCGATAGCAATACTTTGGCAATTAATGCATGGCAGCATTGCAAGTTCATTCATTTTCGCATGATATGACATTTCCAGTTACAAACAATAAAGACAATGTTACGAATTTATTAATTTTGGCACGACACCCCATTTCCAATTACAAACAATAAGGACAATGACTGCCCTACACATCACATGATACCAATGTCAGGGCTGCAGCACTGCGCGCAAAGATAGGTCGACAATAAGGTTTTAACAAAAGCATAAACGGCAAAGCAGCAACAGCAGCAGCACAGCATGTCGTGCTTTGATATCAATAATCTGCCTTAAAAGCTGGCGATCGCTACGTCGCGCATGTCAAACAGTCCACGAGAGCGGGCCAGCACAAAATCCACAAAAAAAAACACCCACTAACCCGAACCCCGACACAGCCACCGCGACGACAATGGCCGGTTGGCGTCAGCCTTCGTGTGTTTCAAGGTATTCTTTAGGTCTGGCTGCCAGATGCTGCCAGATTTTGCTGTCGTCACAAACCCATTTCAAGACGCCATCAAACAGTGAACTAATGGGCCCATTTTTTTTTTATAAACTTTGAAATTTTCCTTCGTAGCGTCGTTTTTGAACCTTGAAAGCTTGCCAATAGTTACAAGGAAGCATTTCCCATTATATCTGACGCCTAACTCAACATCTTCAGATGTGGAACATTCCCTTTAGCTAAAAAAGCATTTCATGACTGCGCATTACACGGCAGCCAAAGGGAGTAAGCACAGGAGGTAAACACAAAGGAAGGATACAAATGGCAATCCGCCCCCATTGTGTCCCCCGTCCCAGGCCTTCCCTCGGGCAAAAACCGCAGTGACAGGTGTTGAGTGAACGCCGCAAGAGAGACCACATTCCAGATCCACAAAGACTAAATTACGACGTGGCATGGGGAGAGCCGAGTGACAAATCGCGCTTTCTTCAATAACCCCTCAGAGGGCTCGTCGTCACCGGAAAGGTCGACCCAAGACCGACAGACCCCGGGTGGCAGGACATATCCCAGTTGACATTGGTTGCCGCTTCCATTATGCCACGTTCGGCCTGTACGGACGGGGCTTTACATTTTGCCTTGCCCCGCCGGTCGGATTCGCCGCATTTGTACGCGGTCTGTCTATTTTGCTTGCGGTAGCAGTTCTTCAGGAAATTCAACAAATCGGTATGGAATCCAGCAGATCTGTGACAGGTATGAATAGCAACTTCTAGTCTTAGTCCCCCCCCCCCCCCACCCCCAGTTTCGGCACACATCGACAAATAAGTTCAGAAATCGACGCTGCGGTAGCAAGCGGTGATACGCTGTCTATCGTCAAGCAAATTCGATCTTAGGTCTCTAAAAATCTGCCAAATCGTCGCCAATCAATTTCCAGCTGACAGACGTGGACATAAAAAAGTCAACTCGGGAGCAGGCGATGTAATTTTAGGTGCACAACAAACTTTACGGGCCGGTCTGTCCAAGCTGACCTGTCTGGCGCTTCAAAAGCGGCTGCTCACTCACTTTTGCCTTTCTCCTATTTACCTTTCTTGTTCACGGGCACCTGCCGCACCTTAAGTTGTTTGGCCGCCTGCAGAATGCATGCATACTCCGCGACTCTATCTTTGTCCGCACTCATGGCTTCTCCGATCCCTGCCTGAGCACAGACTTGACCGGGTGTGAGCTGCCGTCAAATCAAGGTGTTCACTGGCGATGGAGGGGGCAGGGGAATTCGCGGTTTACTGGAGGACGATATGATGATCAGTAGAAGTAATCACCCCTTCCCCAGTTAACTCATCACCCCCTCCCCCCCCCCCCCCCGGCTAAGTAAGCCCTGAGGGCTTGGCCATGTTTTTTAGCAATGACGTGATGTGGATGAAACAAAGGATTACCTTTAAAAATTGGAAAGACAATTTTTCGGCCAGCATTTTGTCAGCTTTGGAGGTGCGCTCCACAGCATGATGAATTGAGATATTCTCACCAACAGTGCACAACAATCCAGCATTTTGTCACCCAACGATGTCTTCCTAAAGCCATGTTTATTTACATCGGGATGCAACAACAATTAACGTTTGACAGCTGTTGGCCAGGATTTCTTGTCACCTCCTCTCGTGTTTTCAGTGCATTTTCTGAGCCGTTTTCTTAACCATAGCATGGAATTATAGAAGTATTGTGCATTCAGACTCTTTACGTGCATGCATTGATTAGAGGTCTCGGATCATTTCAGAGCAGTGAGGTACCCAATTTTTTAAAGAAACTTTGTTTCGTTTCCTCGAAGATGGCAAAGAACAATCAATATGTATCCCTCTCACCCCCCCCCCCCCCCCCCCGCCCAGCCCTCTCTCTCTCTCTCACTCTCTCTCTCTCTCCCCCCCCTCTCTCTCTCTCTCTCTCTCTCTCTCCCAATTCCCCTCCCTCTCTCTCTTTTTCGAACACATCACAAATGCTTACAAGAACCACTCGACGCTGCTGGTACCTCAGTGGGGCTCCACGCAAAAGAACGCGCACTTCATCTCGTCGCCAATCACACCGATTCTCTACCTCGTAAACGCTTCTCATCAGCATATCAAAGCCCACAGCACGGGCGGCATCGCTTAAACGGCATGACCAGATGATCTCATTGACACAACACTGAACAATACTTGGCGTATCATCGCGAGCGGCGGCTGGCTGCATCCGGCGGCGTCTCCTGCGGCGGCCGGCGCCTGGTGTCCCTCCATCGACCCGTCGTGACCGGTCAGGGAAGACCGCCGTCGGCGTCGCCGGGCCACCAGACACGGGATCGGCAGCCACGCCTGGTCGCTGCGGCGGCGCGGTGCGAGCAGCGTCACGACACCGGTCGCCGTGTACGGCAGCCGTCGCCCGGTCGGTGGACTGGTTAGTTGGGCTTTCGAGTGCTGGGAGCGCATGGTTATGCATCAGGTGCAGGTGCTGACCGGCGGGAGTGAGTGGCCGGGCCCTCTCTTCACAGTGCGAACAGTGTTAAAAAGTCACGGTCACATAGCGGAACACAAATCATACTGCACTCTACCATATCTCGACATCCCCCCTTCCCCAAGTGTCCAGCGCTTGGTGGCGAGAAGGCAACCGTTTTACGTGCATTGCGGCTCCGCAGGGCGCCAGGGCGGGGATGTTCTTCATCGCTCAGTACAAGTTGCCTGTCACTGCAACAGACTTTTTACGTATCATGGGGCTAGAACACAAATACTTTTAATATATTTTTACTTTGTAAAACTTATATTTCAATACTAACACTTGAGAATACAAATACTTTTCAAGACTTACTTTTGGCAAAAACCTACTGAAAACTACTTTCCCTCTAAACAAGATGAAAAATGACTTGAAGCACATTATTTTCATTACTGCGGCAAATTGAGTTACAGACACTCCACCTGGTAGGCAAATTTCCAATATTCATTCTAACCGAAAGTGTACCTCAGAAAGAGACCACATGTCTGCCGCTGGCACCATACCCCCCGCTGGTGATATTAGGATAAGTGATCTTCGTAACATAAATCGATTTCCGCGAACACCTACCATTAACCATTTCATTGCTGTTTTTTGAGGGGTTATCAAGTTGCGATTTATATTTGCATACAAATTAGACCTATCTGTATCTGTATCGGTATGTGTGCGATTTACATTTGTATCGAAATCAGTCGCATCAAAGAGCAGAGCCGGCAAAGAATGCCGTGAAACGACAGAAGAACTGAGAAATGCTTGACCTATTTCTTTCAGTCATGTTAATTTTACCTATCAAGCTATCGACGTAGAACCGCCTGAATATCATTGGAAAGCCTAATATTGATGTTTATGCATTCAAGCTGAGAGCACCTCAGCATAAGGCTCATGCGAAATCATGATTCAGATTTCATAACAGATTTTGCTGCAACTTCCTGTCATGGCAACGCACACTGTCTGCATGTCCAATGCATGGCTGAACAAGAAGGTTGTTAAGCGCACTTTGCTGCCTTGAAATCATGAGCAGTTGTCTTAAAACGTGTCGCCTTACCTTGTATCACCGTTAAGTACCAAGGTTGCATCACTACTAAGTGAGTTCGCTTGTCTCTGTCACCTTCTCCCAAGCTCGTTTCCAGGCGCATTACAACTTTTGGAGCCCACAATCAAAAGCACGTGCGGGGGTGAAGGGGGCAGTCCCTTTCTCTTTGGTTTCGAGAGGCTCGAAGGGCCCACGGATTTCACAAGCTGGCCGGGTGGCACTGAAGCCCCATTGACTCAGGGTTCCTGGGTCAATGAGCAGCCACCTGTGTCCGTTCGGAATCCACCTTTCCTGACAGAGGACCCCGTCGTGGCAAGGGGTCCTTAGATGGCCAGGAGCAGTGTCCGAGGGGGCCCGAGGATGGGCACGAAAGGTCCCTCGGTTGGGGGGGGGGCAAAGCTCGAAGGGCTAGCTGTAGGTCACAATAAGGACCCTGGCTCGCAGAGCCGGAATCTCAAATGTCAGACAAAAGGCGTCACACACCGATCGAGAACCCTGGACTGTGTGAGCCTCTATTTCAGCCAGATATCACCAAAATCAAACAGTCGGCTCCGTGCCGGTCTGAGCCCTCTGGACCCATTTCCCAAGCAGGGACAAGACCGGGGACCCCGATCCGCATTGGTTGGGTCCCTGAAACAACGAGTGGCCCCGTGTTGGTCACGGAACTACAGTGCCTTACGAGGGTCCCGGAAGGTTCGCACCCCTCCGCGTCTGCCTTGGCCAGAGGGCCTTCAAGGAGGGGACAAATGTATGGGGCACTCATCTAACGTCAGGGGAAATAATCTTAGGGTACGAACAGATGTCCTACGGTGTTCCAAGGTACTCCTTTCAGATGCGTCATCATTTTTGTCCGCCTCTTGGCAGCCGCTTAGTGCTAGTCGCCAGGCTCAGGCCGCGCGGCCTGCGGAGACTGCAACAGCGGACGTCTGGGTTATTGCTTCAAGACTTGCGAGTGTGTGTGCTCAAAACTTTATAGTATAGTGGCTTTACCTATCCGTTATAAGGAACGCATGAACATGTCTGGACAAACGACACCGGTAAGCCACATCATGCAAATTTTGGTTTCCATTTCGATCTACAATCGATGTTCATTTCACAGGGTTTGCATTTACTCTGCTGGGCCCCGACAAAGTCTGGAAAAACCTGATTGATGTCAGTGTAGAGGGAGGACAATGAATCATTGTAAAATGAATGCACCGGAAATTACCCCATGCAGACATATAATGTCTGGTTAATTCAGTCTTCAAACTTCAAAATGCTTCAAACTTCAAAACTTCAGTCGGACTTCCAAAATGCAAACAGAATCGCATTCTCCGGTTACTTCTGGCTTCTGCGTCAGTTAAAGACGGAACCAAACAAGAATGAGACCAGGAAAATCGATCTCCTCAAATTCAAGTAGGCCGAATCCGGCGATTCCTTGTGGGAGGCTTTTTTACCAACAGGTGGTCTTCGTCAACACTGATCCCCGCGCCCCCCCCCCCCCCCACATACACTAAGACCCTGATTGTGCCCCTCCTGCCGCCACATTCCTTGTTGGACTGAAATGTCTTCCTGTTGCTCGCATCATCGTGGCCACGGGTAAAATATTGATGATAGCGATCATTGACTCATGGGACTCATCAGAGGTCCGATACCTATGTGTGTGTGTGTGTGTGTGTGTGTGTGTGTGTGTGTGTGTGTGTGTGTGTGTGTGTGTGTGTGTGTGTGTGTGTGTGTGTGTGTGTGTGTGTGTGTGTGTGTGTGTGTGTGTGTGTGTGTGGTGTGTGTGTGTGTGTGTGTGTGTGTGTGTGTGTGTGTGGTGTGTGTGTGTGTGTGTGTGTGTGTGTGTGTGTGTGTGTGTGTGTGTGTGTGACATTCGGTCACCCCTTCCCTCCCCCATCTGTCATCCAAGACAGTGTAATCTTCAAGCACAGTCGCTATCTTACTCCGTTTAAATGGTATCTGCAGGACATGGTTCCTGTAGACGGCATGAACGTGATATGGCCCGGTCCGACTTAACTTCAAAATTCAACCGTATGGATCGCTTTAAAATTAATCGTATAACTTGTACATTACCGACAGTGCTACCACTATGATCTCCAACTGTTGCTTTAGCACGCTAGTTTGTGGATTGGGCAATGCTTGATAACCTAAAGGCGAGGAGGGAGGAGAAGCGATCGAAGCGAGAGGGGATTAAGTTATTTTAAAGTTACCATCAAATTCAAGAACACTCCGGCTTGATATTAAAAAGTCCGCGTGCATCTAAGACTTTGCACGTAGTAACATCCACATTAGTTCTATGATATAAATTCCATTCCATGAACGCCTGACGTTGTAGACATAAAGGCCGATTTTTTACGATCTTTAGATATGAGTTTCGAGCCTTGGCACCGAAATGGGTAGTTTCCATCCCAAAGGCACGGCGTGCTTGTCCAGGCAGCTCGTTCCACGTGCCCCACACCCCTACCCTGCGGAGCACCCACCGTCCGAAGTCAGCCGCCTCGGCGACCGTGGTGGGCAGGTCGCGTCCACTCGTCTCCGGCAGGAAGGCCGTCATGCCGCCCGCCAGCAGGCCGCACACCCCGAAAATGCAGAGCGGCAGCGTGGCCGTGTCGTCGCCCTGGCCACCCAGGTCAGGTCAGGGCAGGTCAGGCTACACAGCCGTGCCCTCGCCATTCGGCGGGCGCGAGCAAGTGGGTCCTGCCGGCCGCCTCACGGGCTTGAGGCGTGTCTCCTTCTGGCCGCCGCCGGGCGAACGGCGGGCGGGGAAACGACAGCTCTACCCGGCTGCCCGTGTCGTGTCGTGACGGGTGCTGGCAGAGTGTGGCCGCAACGCGCGCCGAAAGAACCGATAACTACGAGTCCACAGCAGTTTGCCTGGCATGGCGACGGGCTACACGCCAGCTTCCACCGCGAGAGAAGTCGCGGGGATAACTTGATACAGTATGCCAGTGACAACCATTCCAAAGATGACGATGGCATAGAAGGAAAACCACCTCCAGTCGCCTCGCAGAGTCGACAACGTTGTACAGCCAGACAGTGTGCTACATGTTCGCAACATCAGCGTTATTATGAGCGAACTTCGTCACCTTGGCTGCTGAACGCGCAGCTTCTGTAGTTACCAGATCGGCGATGACCGGTGCGAGCACGGAGCCGATTCTTGAGCAGGCTGAGGCCATGCCCACGCCCATCACACGCATTCCGCTTGGGCACAGCTCCGCCGTGTACAGGAACAGGAGCGAGAACGCTGACGCCGCGCCGAACTTGCCCAGCAGCGCCAAGGTCGTCGTCAGCCACTCCAGTTCTGAATTGGACCCGAGATGAGATATGTAACCCGCTCTCGAGAGCTGACAGACAGCACCCGCTCGTCTCAATTGCAAGCTACCAACGCGTGGCGTCCAATGTAAACCGATATTTAGACGACCAACAACTGATCAACTGAAGGTCTGTTGTGTCGGGGTAGGCACGCATGGTGCGCTTGAACTGGCCGAGAAGACAGCCGCGCGCGTGTGATTTGTTTGATCTCCCGGTTTTCCCGTATTTGACTCGTTTGGATTTACCGTCTCCATTTGACGATGCGACCTTGAAACATGCATTGCAACATTTGACCGTACAGCAGCATTGCAGGGACTCGTTCACTCAATCAAAGAGGTGGCGGATGGCGGATGCGACTGGGATGGCACCTTTCTCCCAAATGGCAAAACTCAGTCTTTAGTCTCGTTCAGTCCCCTCCCCCACTGCTGAGATGAGTCGCCGTTGGGGGGAAAATATTCTAATGCATCAGTCAGCATTATGGCGTTATTTCAGCAGCATATTCAAGACGAAGGAATCATCGCCAGAAAGAAACAGTTTGTTACTAGAGCCATCGCCACGCAAGCAGCCCTGGCTCAAAGATCGCCGTTGGGAGGAATGACCTGCACACAGCTTGGGAGAAACATGCCCAACACATAATTCCTCTTGTCGGCACATGCCGCACCTTGTCCGGGGAGCACGCTGCGCATGACTCAGTGTTGACAACGAGCCGGCGCATGACTCACCGTTGGCCGGCACGAGTCCTGCGCAGATGGTGCCCAGTCCGCTTAGCAGGAAGGCACCACCTATCACCAGCTTTCGACCGAGTCTGAAATGGTCCAGCCAAGCCGTATTATAAACACGTGTGTACCGCGGTTGTCGCATCCCTCCTCTCTGTATACTGTTTACCCAGCGGACGTGACCGGTATGGAGCCTTCCCGTAAGGGACGGAAAATTAACGGATCGGCGCACTTCCCAGCTTGTGAAAACAGCTCACAAATAGGCACATAGAACCATGCACGCGTGGTCGACACTTCATTGCTTCTGATGGAGGCATGCTTCTGTCGTAACGTTTCTCAACTTCATCTCTGATGTGAAGCTTACGACGTTGCACAGGAAGAGTTGCCCTAAAACTGCGACAAGGCACTTACGGATTAAGGGTGAGTGCGCAGAACACGTACGACGGTATTTCAATCAGCATCGTGAGGATGAAGTTGGTGTAAACGTCCCCTCCCAGGTCAGTGGACACCATGCTGATGCCGTAGTAGACCATCGCCACCACCAGCCTGGCAACAGCTTCGAGGCGTCAGGTGAGAACGGCCTTGGACCGGGGTCCGCACGTGACGTCGAGAGCAGCTTGTCCGCAGGCACAGTTATGCAGCCCATCGTCGACGCGACCACACAGACGCGTAACTCCGTGACGTGGTGCTGATGGCGTCCAGAACCAGGTGGTAACACTATGCCATTCACTCAGGAATTGGGTTTCCATTATGACGTCACACAGAACAGCCCGAGCAGTCACCGCGAGTGCGGTGATCTGAACAAGCGAAAAGCGGGGTTCTCTCAGTGTGTCGGTGCTTACCACTGAAAAGCCAGGATGAACGCCCGCTTCAGGAGGACAGGTGACTTAATCACGCTAATGAAGCTTTCATTGATGGCTTGGGGCTCTTGGAGTGATCCACTGCTCCTCTCCTGCAGAAGTTGTAGGCGACTGTTACCATGTTAGCTTGGCACGCGCCCGGCTGGCCGGTTGGACACGCTTCGCTCGGGAAGTGGTCAGTTTAACGCCGCTGAGATCTCAAGAACCAAGAGATCTAGAGGCGAGAATTCGCAGGATGTATTGGCCTGTGCGTGAACTCATTTAGGTCAACGTTTGGAGTTCCTGGTTCGTGATCTTCGGGTTAAATTAGGTCAAACAAATTCGAACTCCAGACTGGTCTCCAAAGTGCCCCCAAAACCTAGACACATGCTCTCAGCAAAAAGTCTCATGCTCATTTAAGGCTAGTGACCTTGTTTGACATTTCAAAGGTCATGGTGACAAAAATAATACAAGATTGATTTGAGTTTTGCATTTGAATAAGCGACAAAGATCGCGCTAAGCATTATGTCCTCTAGAACAAATGTTGACCAGGTTCATTTTAGGTCAATGATGTTTTCTGACCTTTCACAAGTCCATGGAAGATGTATAATGCGGTTTCTCCTATCAATGAATTCAAGATAAGCACAAGAACCGCCTCACGCAGCAAGCCTTACAGTAATAATACATATTGGTTTTGACCTTGGTCTGACATTTCTACTTGACCCTATGGAATTTACTGAATGGAATTCACTGATTCAATCGTTGTGTTGCCTCTAAAAAAGCATCACAGAGGTGTATGGCTTCGCCAAAATTCCGTTTGTGGCAATCAGATTAAAACCATTTCCCAAAAACAAACTTTGCTGAATCCTTGACCTGACTTTGGCCTGTCGTTTGCCAACATGCTTGCAAGGTATATCTATGTTTTGGGTATCAAATGATCCGCTATTCAATTACCCAGAACCATGCAAAGCTTGGCGCTGCTACGCTCGAAAACCATCCCGTAAAACCTCCAGGGGGGGGGGGAGGGGTCAAATTTACCCCCGCCCAAGAGCGTGTTAAACGGCACCTACACACCTACAGAGAATATGTTAAAAGACGGCTGATTACACAAGAATACTGAAACGGACAAAATTACGTTAGTTATGCAGTGCATTTGTGAGGAACGTTATTCACCTAGAAAAGACAGTAGTAATAGCGTTGTTCTCAGAGAAAAACCAGGAGAATGGAGATGGAGACGGGTTGATATTTCGGCAACATACCTTTATTGAAACAATATAAGAAGAAAAGAAAGTAACGTCTGCTATTATTTCTATAAATGCGTGTTGCCGAAATATCAACCCGACTACATCTCCATTCTCCTGTTTTCTCTCCGGGGTATAAGGCTGTTATTACTGTCTTATCTATGTAGACAGACAGAAAGCAATGTCCACGTTCAACAGAATTCTTATAGGATCACACAAAATATGTGATTTGGACTCCAAATTCTTCCCACGCGAATTTATACTGTTCTAGTGGGCGTACTTGTGAATCAAACTATTGCATGCTCAGGAGAGCAGTCATCGCCTGTTTGATGCAGTAGCGGACTTGACAATGGATGTGAAGCCGGCAACTATGCCTTTTGATCAGCATTGGGCAGGATAAAACATCATCACGGATGTAAGGCTAGAAGATAAAGAGCCCGCTCGACGTCCGCAGGATATATAAATATATATATATATATTATATATATATATATATATGAAAAAATATATACAATATATTAGTGTGTGTGTGTGTGGTGTGTTGTTGTGTGTGTGTGTGTGTGTGTGTGTGTGTGTGGTGTGTGTGTGGTGTGTTTGGGGTGTGTGTGTGTGTGTGTGTGTGTGTGTGTGTGTGTGTGTGTGTGTGGTGTGTGTGTGGTGTGTGTGTGTGTGTGTGTGTGTGTGTGTGTGTGTGTGTGTGTGTGTGTGTGTGTGTGTGTGTGTGGTGTGTGTGTGTATGTGTGTGTGTGTGTGTGTGTGCCTTTCGCTCCTTTCTATGAAACGACATGGTGTAATGCTTCATTTTACCGGGGTTGAGAACTTAAGGTTTTACCTTTGTTCCCCAACAGAAATATCGCAGGTATGAATATGTTTCCCTTGAGTTAAGTAGACGTTCGTCGCGTGGGTGATGATACGCCACACCAAAGTAAAATTTAAGGGAATGCACCACATTCAAAGATATTCAGGCAAGCGTCAGATATAATGAAATAAGCTCACTTCTAGCCACTGACTTGTTTTAGAATGTTAAAGACTGCTTTAGACAACACAATTTCGCTATTTAGTAAATGTCTTGATCAAGCATTTTCGTCTGCTGATGTCACGGAACGTCTCATGACATCATTTTGCTGCCAGAATAGTCG